AATAGAATTGAAAAAAACACATTATTTGAAAAACATAAATTGAACCGGTAAATTGTAATGGAATTGTAAGTGATTCAGAAGTAAATAAGACCAGGAAACTGCAGAGTAATTCAAAACACTGTCAGAAACTGCCATCTGCATTACTATTTGGAATCACTTTCATACATTGTAAAGATTTGACATCCTAAGAATTCTGCCAAGTCTCTTGAACCTGAAAACAAAAGTAGTGATAGTTGTTTAATTTCGTTAAGAGAAAGGTTTACTTTTTGATTTGCTTTTTTTAGGAAATGGGAGCTGTGACTGAGATGGGTGATCACCAGCAAACCTGCTCCCTCTGCCCCAGGGACAGAGCCGTGATGGGGCCCCAGACCCAGACTACCTCTGCCGTACAGTTGTGTCTCTGTACCTGTCTTCACCAGCACAGTAAGAAAAGGGGTTTGTGTGATTTCTAGTGCACATCTGAAGCCTGGGTTCATCTACTCTCTTCCTCTTCGTAAGCACTAGAACACAGCCCACCCAGGACCCACCTTTGATGACACAAACCGGAAATAATCTCTAGGGAACAATCATTTCCTGGGACTGCTGTGCCAACATGGACCATGCCCTCGGGGCTTAGTTTAAGAGAGAAATCAAAGTCTATGTTCTATAGAGGTATCTATTGGGTCTTTGTTAAAGCAGCTTAGCCTTTCCATTATCGAATACAGGTACACTATCGTACTGGGGTTACTGGTTGTTTGGAGGAGATACTAATTAAGCTTTATGAATGCAAGAATGGGAGCCACATTTTTCTGTTTAAAAAAATTTTATTTAGCTAAAATTTCTGAGATGATATTTCAGCAACAAAACTGGCATGTATAGCACACTTTTTTACATTTTTAATTAACCAGATTTGGATCTACAGGGAAAGAGGAACAAGATATTTCAATATGCTGAATATTTTCAACAGTTACAAAAAATATTTAAAGTAATTGCCATGGTACTGTATGTGCTCACCATTTTCAACATGTGCTTCATGCTTAGTGAAGACACTTTGAATGGAATAAAATCGAAGATATTAACGTTGTTGCAAGCCTGCTTTAAACTTCAGAAAAGAAATGTGAAATAGCAAGGAAAAGCATTTGTATAAAAGATCCATTTGTTTTTCAAAATCCTAAATTCACCTGCGATGCCCAAAGAGGGAAACTAACTACTAATGCTTTGTTATTAAAACACACGGGAGAGTGATTATAATTTTATCACCATTTTAGATTAAGATTTAAAAAGAATTTGCTGAAATTTGCAATTTTAGTTGCCAAGTAGAGTGTATTGTTACTTATAGCATCCACAGCAACTTACTGTGTGAGCCAGAATTTTTAACCAACATAACTAAAAACAGTGGGAAGAAACAGACATCAAAGCACAAAGCACATTGGTTGTGCATATAGCATTGTTCTCATGTCTCCAGCCTTGAATGGATTTAAGAACAGGCAAGTGTGCCTCCAACAATGAATAAAATTATACTTCATAGTAACTCTATCATATTTAACAGTAAGTATTGCTTTATAAATAAAACTTTTGAATCTGTTTATACATTATATATATTTATACTGGGCGATGATAAAAAGGTGAGTTGATGTTTTTTTAAAAAGTGTTTTAATGATTCTCTAGCTCTTCTTCATAGCCAGTATCTTGAGTGGGCTGTTTATACCCGTGTTTCTACCTGCTCTCAATTCTCCACAACCAGGCTCTCTGTCCTCATTGTGATTCTGGGGCAGGCTTTCTAACTAAAGTCCCACATCTCTTGGATTCTTTTCTGTGTTTATTTTGGTCTGTTCTGTTGCCATTGACCTTGTTACCTGATTATTTTTATTTCATTTTTCCACTACCTTAAAAAATGCTTTGCAATTGTAAAAGTAAAAATGTTTAAGGGGAAAATGAACTCACTGATAACCCCACCAGATATAAACACTATTAATATTTCCATGTTTGTTTTCTAGTTATATATGTATATATTTTAAAACTTAGGTGTACATCCCCATCAAATAGTTAAATAATAAATTACAATCTTCTTAAATACATAGAAACCACTTTTTATGTCTTTCAAAATTTCTCTCGCACATTATTTTTTTTTGTTATTTTATTTTATTTTATTTTAATAGATTCCATTTATTTATTTTTCAACAAAGGGGAAAGGAGGGAGAGAAACATCAATGTGTGGTGGCCTCTTGCCCACCCCCTACTGGGAACCTGGCCCTCAACCCAGGCATGTGCCCGGACTGGGAATAGAACTGGCAACCCTTTGGTACACAGGCCGGCACTCAATTCACTGAGCCACACCAACCAGGGGATTCAATTTTATTTTACATCAGTTTACAGTCAATATTATTTTATATTAGTTTCAGGTATCCCACATTTTTATTAAAGGCTCTATAATAGGCTCCTTTATGGATACATATATCATAGATTATTTATCCACTTCTCTATTGTTAGACATTTATTTAAAGTTTTCTTTTTAAAAAAATGATTAGACAACACATTGAAATCCTTGTAGAAAAATCTCTATCCACTTCCACAATCTCTCACTCAGGATGACTTCCTGGAATGAGGGAGCTGGGCAGGAACCTCGTCTATGCTGTGCACACCCGGACTCCCTCCGGGAACGAGGCACCTGGTCGCCTTCCCCCAGCACCGGGACCTGGCAGGACCTCATCGGCCAGCTCCTTACCAACCAGGCGATAGCATTTTAAATCTCTCAGCTAATCTGATTGATAAAAATATTACTTTATTTAAAAGTTTGTCTCTTTTTATTAATTAATAGGTGCTTGAACATTTTTCATAAATTTTAAGTCAATTGTATTTTTTCCTCTCTGAATTGACTTCACATTCATTGCATTTTTTAGAGTGTGCATCTGTTTTTTAATACTTTATAAAAACATTTTTTACAAAGCTATTCAAACTTTATATCTCTGAAATGTTTATATTTTTCTACTTTGTATCTTAAGCAAATTTGTTTTTAACTATAAAGATAATATTCTTAAAAAGTAAAAAAGTAAATACAAAATTAAAAGGTGATTTACGCTCTTTCCTCCTTAAATCTATCTGTCAGTGTGTCGTTTGCCTTTTAATTTCATAGGAAACGTTTGACATACAGGTTCTACCTATTGAGATCAGCAGATCTATTTACCTTTCCTTTTGGTCAGTTTCGGCCTCGGCTGGTTGTGAGAAATAATCTTAATGCATTAAGATAAATATACTCTTACATTTTCTTCTAAACCTCTTCTGGTTCAGTTATTAAATTTTATAATTTATTTTTCTATATTCTATAAAGTTGGGAACTATATTTTCTCCAGTTAACAGTGTAGTCTAACCTAGTATCTACTACAAATGTTTATAATAATAGTTTTAATTTAATTTATTTTTTTGCAGCACTGGACAGAAACATGTTTTAACACCGTGGCTTCATGGGATGTAAATGGTGAGCTGGAAGCTTGGGGGCTGGCACTTTGCCCGTTTTGCCTCCTCAGTACCAGGGACTTAAGAAGCCTGAACACACGCCCCCACCCCCAGCTCTCGGACGCCCTGACACCCCCTCTCCTGGCTGCCCTCCCACACCTCGGGTTTCTGGTGGCTCCTTCTCAGCCTCCTCTCCAGGCGTTCTCTCCTCTGCCCACCATCTGAGGGAAAGAGTTCCCCACCTTCCTCCCTGGCATCCTGCCCTTCCCATTTCATTCATTGCCTCCCAGCAACCTTTGCCTAATCCTAGGCATCAACAATCTTAATACTTAAGGGTGTTCGAATTCTCATTTTTACCACAGAGCCCTATTCTGAGTTCCTGACAGTAGGTAACACACCCCATGGTTCTCTCATTATCACTTCAATCTGAACACGTTTAAAACTGCACTCATCAAATCCCGGATTCTGAACCTTCTCTCCCTCGCTTTAACTTGGAGGACGGGTCACCATCTTCCTATTTTCCCAAACAAGACATTTGGAAGACATTCCATATGCTACCACACCAGCGGCTGAATCCTACTGCTTCTACTCCCTAAATATCCCTTGCTCTATTTCCCTCAATTCCTTTCCACCCACATTGGCTTCACTCATTTCTCCGCTACAGCAAACTCTTCCTATGGTCGCAGTTTATTTTCCTCACTACTGCTACATTTGCATTTTTAAAGAAAAATCATCATACTTTAAATTCTTTCATAGTTCCCAGTTCCCAATCACAGCTCTCAAAACAAGGGGGAAAAAATGAGATTTCTGCTTTTCTCCCCCTTTCCTCCACCCCATGGCCTCCATCAGTGAAGTCTTGAAGTGACTGAAACACGGGGCACTCTCCCCAGGTCTGAGGCCTCCCCTGGCCACCGGGTCGCCTCCCAAGATCAGCCTAAGGGCTCTTCACTGGGGAAGTTTTCCTTATCCGCCCTCTCCCACCCCAGTGGGAGTCAGATGGCCCTTTGCTCTTGTACCCCAGTGCGCCCCCTTACTCCCCCCCCCAGAGGAAAACAATTTAGCACAAGAAAGAAAAAGAAAGGAAAGGAAAGGAAGGGAAGAGGATTTTATAAAGGGGTTTTGGATTCAAGATATTTTGAGTCCAGCTCCTGTTGGTTTGGGAAGTAACTTATCCTCTCCAGGTTAGGTTTCTTCATCTGTGTAATGGGAATATTAACCTCTTCACACACAGACAGAGAGAGAGAGAGAGAGAGAGAGAGAGAGAGAGAGAGAGAGAGAGAGAGAGAGAGAGAGACTGTTGCGTACGGGTTGAGCACAGTCAGACTAATCACTGGGAGTGGTACCTGGAGTGGCCCAGAGGAGCTGATCATTAAATAGGGAAAGCATAGAGCAGGGGGTGCAGGGGCCTCCGCGACCGGGACAGAGCCGCTCCCCTCGTCCCAACCCTGCCCGCCGGGTGCAGAGGGTGGAGCGGGGTGGACAGCGGAGAGGCCCCTCCCAGCTGACTGCCCGCGGTGATCAGATGCTTCTTAGGGCCGAGCCCTGCCAACAACGGGCAGCAGGCCGACTCAGGACATCCGCCTCCACCTTTCCGCGAAGCCTTCCTGTCCCAGGGGCCATTCTCAGCGACCCGGTTTGGCGAGCGCCATTCCAGCCTCGAGCCCAGAGCCCACCAACGCCGCCACCGCGCGCTGAGCGCACCTGACCCGGGCGAGCGGGCGGGGCGGGGCGACGGGACTGACGTGGCCCGCGGCGTGGAGCGGGCGTGATTCATCAGCTGCCGCACCAGGGCCGGATGCTGGCGAGCGCAGCGGCCGCCTAGGCGCTCAGGGCCAGGGAGCAGCGGCGGCGGCTTTCCCTCTCCGGCCTCGCGCGCTTCCATCGCTGTCGGCTGCCAGGCCCCTGCGAAGCTCAAGATGGAAGAGATCCTGAGGAAGCTGCAGAAGGAAGCGTCTGGGAGCAAGTACAAAGCCATCAAAGAGAGCTGCACCTGGGCCCTGGGTAAGCGCACCGAGCGGAGCGCGGGGCGCTGGGCACCTGCTGTTGGGTCGCGCGTCCCTGCTCGCCGCCGCCGCCGGAGGGCCGCGCGGGCTCAGGCTGAAACGGCCCTGCGTGTTGGGCGCTTGCTGAGCATCTGTTATGCATGCATTTCGTGCAGTTACACGAGTTGCCTCGTTGAACTGATGTACGTAACGAGAATCTTGGTTCAGGTGTTGACATCCGTCCACCACCCCTATGGTTCGTTTATCTTCTCCCAAACCTTAACGGGGAACCTCTGTCCTCCACGCCGGGTGGGTCTCTTCTCCAGATCCCCAGCACAGTGGACCTTGGTCACCCGTCTCTGAGGGAGACAGGACCGCAAGCCAGTGCGAATCCAGGGGTCCAATTCTGAATCGCCCCGTGGAAGACGGAAGTTGGACCATCAACCCCGATCCCGACACGTAGTCGAGTGTAACCAGGAAGGACTAGGTGTTTCATTTGATTTTCCTGATAAAGGCCAGTTTGTTAAGTATGAGCTTTCATGTTCATGTACATGAAAAAATAACATATGGGTGGGATTGGGTAACCTTTGCAATGCTATTGTGGTCTGGCCTTCAGACAGGTGGGATGGAGCCGTGCAGGCATTGAAGTAAGTTCCAGGTAGCAAATGTGTGTTTCCTGTCCGACCCAGGCTGCAGAACTCCACCTCTGAGAAAGAGGGAAGGATATGGTCAATCGAGGTTGTCTGGATGGGAATGCAAAGAGATCAGGGACATACACTGGGCCATAGTGATGCGTTCGAAAAAGGAAAGGCCAAGGAGAAACCCGGGCAGCTCTGTGGGCCTCTGGCTTTGCCCAAGTCTGCATATGTTTCCTCATTTGCCACTCAATTAAAACATAAAATTGAAATCCTTTCTCTCTCAACCAAAAATAATCAGTGCTTGTCCCATTACACTGAAAAGAGAGAGAAATGCCAGGTTTCCACTAAATGTAAAGTTCTTAAGGTGCTTTAGATGACTCTTAATATTTAGGTCTGAATTCACATATGTTTGGGGCTTGTGAACAGATAATCGGAGTAACGTCATTTTTTTTAACATCTGCACATTTTCACATTATTTTCTAGAATATTATCTAGGAAGTTGATCTGGAAGGCAGAACCAAAACCTGACCATTTGTTTACTATTAAAGAAAAATGGACCAGATAAATCCTTGAGCAGTCAGGCTCTTAAAGCCACAGTGCTGGTTTTGCGTTGCCATTGTCATTCAGCCGAGTGATTCTCGGAGCTAGATTCCCAAATGCATCTATTGAACGGTCACAGATGGCTGAGTAACATAATAAGCAGGACCCAACTGCACTCTAAACACACCGTTCCTTGTAGTCATGATTATTTTGCTGTAATTTAAGCAGATTTTGATAAAAGGGAGGAGAAGGGTACTCTAGTGCTTTTAATGTTTGAACTTGGGTGCTCAGCGTCCTGTTAAGTTAAACTGCAGTCTTGCTGAGTTTAGGTCCTCAAAGCTACCCAGGAAGGCCAGAGACAAGGCAGGTAGCTTGTCTGAGTCTAGAGCCTGGAGCCCAGCCTGACTATAAGAATAGAAAGGTTTTATTTTTCTAGTTAGCAAGCTAAGACGTGCAGGCAGCAAAGGGTTAAATAACAGTGCAGGGCATTCATTGTGTAGGCTGCAGTGAGTCAACCAGGAAAACAGATCAAAGAAGTGGGGGCGACTGAGGTCGTGGGGGTTGGGGGAGGGGAGGGGGGTGAAGGCCCTGAGCTGGTGGGACTTTCAAAGTAGATTTGACCTTAAGAATAGATAAGCCCTGGGTTCCTTCTTTTCCTTCCTTATTTATTTAGCCTACATTTTTTTTAAATTAAGACCTCCCCTGCCCTGAGCGGTGATAGGTATAGATGAATAAAATCCTCCCTGTAGAAGTTTATTAGAAGGTTTATATCAGAGGGAGGATGCAGCATGAACAAAGGCACGGAGACAGGGTTTTCGGATCTTTCCTACTCCAGTCCATGTTCCACTGTTCCAGCTCTTTTTTAAAATAAATTTTATTTTGATTTATTTATTCTTTAGAGAGAGGGAAGTGAGGGAGAAACAGGAGAGAAACATTGATGTGAGAGAAAAACATGGATCAAGGGACAGAAAAACATGCTGATAGGCAACCCCACCCCAGCCCAGAACCCACAGACTCACAATCTAGGCATGTACTGGGACTGGGAATCGAACTGCCGACCTTTCACTCTGTGGGAGGATGCTCAACGAACTGAGCCACAGTGGTCAGGACCATCTTCTTTTTGTTGTTTAGCTATAAAATACTTTAACTCCTCTGCCCCGTAATTTCTTTATAGATTAAAGTATACATTTTTTAGAACTCTCTTCGAATCTAGCCCCAGCCTTCTTTCTTCTTGCTCCCCCACCAAGGGTTCAACAGTCTCCAGGAAGCTGCAGTACTTGCTTGAACACACGGTGCTCTGCACACTCCCCTGTCTCTGCCCACGCTGGGCCTTCCGCCCGGAATTCCCTTGCAGTCTCCTAAGACCCAGCTCACTTAGCAAGCATTCATTCCCAAACTGTTGAAGCAGCTGGTCCTCTGGGTCCAGAGCCCGCCCTTATGACTTCTCTAAAGCGCTTACTACTTTGGATTACAGTCACTTGTGTGCACAGCCACCCTTCCAGGGGCAGGATAATTGATAAATACATTGGATTCAAGAAATAAACAAACAAAAACCCCTCATTCAAACTGACATAAGCAGAACAGAATTTATTCACTCTATTAACTAAATATCCCTTGGAAGGCTGTGGGTTGAGTTTGGTTTGGGAATTAGACACTGGTTCAAAGACCTTGCCCTGCTCTTTTTGAGGTATGTCACATGCTCTGTGTGAGCCTGCAAAGCTTTGGGCTTGTGGATCATCACACTGGATCATCTAATGGAAAGGGGGCATCAGCACACTGACCATCTCAGGAGAGAGGGACCACCTCCCACGTAGACCATCTTGAGGGAAAGGGGTCATCTCCCACTGGGACCCTCATGAGGGAGAGGGGTCATCCTGACATTTAGACTATCACAGGAGAGAGGAGTCATCTCCCACTAAAATCATCCCAGGAGAAAGGGGTCATCTCTTCACCTAGGCCATCATAGAGAAAGGGACCGTCTCTCCCTCAGCCCATCATGGGATCATCTGAAGAGAGTAGAGCTCCTCCAGTCACTCCTGCTCAGTCCTTGTTTCACTTATTCTCTCTTGGTGTCGCTGGGCTGTGTGTGTGTCATTGAATCAGTCCTCTCACTGAAGAATGGAATGAGCTGACTGGCTTAGACCTGGGCTCCGAGGCCCAGTGAAGTCCCAGGGCCAGGAAAGGACCGTATCCTCAAAACAAAGTGGGATGCTGCCTCAGAAGGCAGGTAGTGGATGCTGGTCATCGGAAACGACAGATGGCCGCCGTGTGGATGCAGCCTCTTGAGCGGTGTCCGGGAGTGTTGCTTGTGCTTCCGTGTGATTTCTGCACCTACAGTGTGAGAGGCGGATGTTCAGTGAATAAATCAACGTGTTAATGACTTGAGGTTGAAGCGATATTCATCTTTTTCTGTTTATAAAGCTTATGTGTGTTCATTTTAGAATACTGAACGATATTCGAACAGTATAAAGAAAAAATTAAAATCACCTGTAATCTCACAACCTACTATAACACCACACTTTGGAGTATTTTTCTTCTGCAGAGTATGATATCATATATGCTGGATTGCCATTTGTATTTTAACTTTTAACTTTAGTGCGTTTATGTCATTAATACTTCTCTGAGAACTGGTATTTTTAATAGTGGCATAATAACTGGCAAGGAATATATATGTATCTCTCCTCTATTTGGTGCTATCTGGTTTGTTAGATTTTTTTTTTTTGGTCAGCGAGGAAATGGCGTGACTAGGGAATAGAAAAGAATAAAGGAGGGGTCAGCTTGCGGAGAGCCTGAGAGACTAGCACTCTCTTTCAAGCACTGGCAGTTCTGGAAGCTTGTGAGCTGGGAAAGGTAGGGTGAAATAGAATGGCACAACATTAGAACTAGAAGGGGCCATGCCTTCATTTTAGACATTTTTAAAACTTATATCAGGGACTCATGTAGAGACTGGGAAAATGCAGGCAAGGAGAACGTTAAGATACTGGAACGCCAAGTAGCGGAAGAAGGATAGTCTATCTACCCACCAGCCTTCCGTCTGTCTTCTCACCCACTTTTCCTTCCAACATAGTTTCTGTTACCTTCACAGCCAAACCTCTAAGCGTGTCCGCAACGAATGTGTCCACATCCTTCACTCACTCTTCCACTCACTCCAATCTCCCTCCTCCATCCTTCCACCGACTCTCAGTGACAAATACAGAGACCTCAATCTAGCAGACCGTCCCCACGCCCATCTTACAGGTCTTCGTGGCCATACTGAGCATACCCGGCACCTGCTTTGCCTTGGCCTCTGTGACCATGCCCAGCCAGTCTTATCAAACATCTTGAGCTGCTCTGTCTCCTTTGCCAACTTCAGCTCCTCTTCCCTGACAAAGCGTTTGAGTTTCTCAGGAGTTAGCCCTGAGCCCTCTTCTCTTACTCCCAGCCCTACCGGAGCTGAACATGTCCGTAACCACAGCATCAGTTTGGCTTCTGAGAATGTGATGCCCAGGTTTCTGGGCACCAGCCCACACCTGCGCTCTGACCCCCAGACCCAGTGCAGCTACCTACTCAGCGTCTCTACTTGAATGGGATGGGCTCACTCCGGCTGCTCTGTGACTCCCCTTGCTCTCTTCCTCTTCTTTTAGCTCCTCTAGCAGTTGTAGAGTTGGGCACTGGGCACGGTTGCATTTTCTGAACGGAGTATAAACCATTTTCTCTGATGAGGAAAATCATGACAATTTGGTTGTTCAGTGTCAGAACCTCCCTGTGGGGAGCAGCGTCAAGTTGTCGTGGACCCTGGCCCTGCCGTGCTTACTGCTGGGCCGAGCTGACCCACGTGGCCTTGAGCTGTTCCCAGCCCCCGAGGCTTAGTCAGGGCTTCGTTTTCTTGTTATCCTGTCTCATCTTAAGGACTGACCACAGTCCGCTCACCGCCTCTCTTGGCCCGTGGCCACAGCGGCACTGATCTGACCCGTTCCATCTTTCTTTTTTGGGGATTGCTTTGCTTACACCAATGTTGTTTTTTTGTCCCCTTGGCACAACAGGCCCGGGTCCTAGCATTGTGGTTTGGCTGTTCTTGCTCCCAAGTCTCAGGACACATTTGGTGTCCATCCTTCCCGCTGCTCTCCGAGCAGGGTGGAGCGAAACGTAGCTCCTCCCCCAGGGAAAATGACTCACACTGACAGGGCGTGTTACCTCTCAGCAGTGAAGAGAGGAGTCAGTGCTGTTCGAAAAACTGGAGACAAATTGGAACCATTGAAATAGAAGAGTTTTCTGTTTTTTTCTTGGAAGAGAACAGTGACCTTTTCATTATCTCCACAACTGGAGGCAGCAGTAGTGTGCATAGTCCATAGTAGTAAAAGTACGGAACATCCACATCGAATTAATGAGATTGGGGGCGAGCCTCCCATAATCTAGTTATGGTGTGGTTAAAAAAGTTTCGTCCACCATGTCATAAATGTGTGCAATAATAATGAGATGTTATGTAAAATGCCTTGTGGAGTTGACATCCCTCACATGACAGTTATCTTCTACTGTGGGTAAAATATTTAAGGGTATTGAAACCATAGTTTCAAGGAAACAACTTTTCCTTCTCTGTTTTTATTGCAAGAATGTAATACTTTAGTCCGTTGTAGCTAGATCAAATTGAAATTCTAGTTTAGGTTAAGAATTTAACTATTCATTCTGTGTCTCTATAGGGAAATAAATCCTAATTTTTAACCTTCCCCAGAGAAGTCTCTGGGGCTATCTGGGGAGAAGTATTTTTAAGTATGAATGATTTGCAGTTAAAGAATTGAGAATTGACTACTTTATAATTATAAAAATTTCTGGGGGGAAAAGAAACTACAGCGAAATTATGTACAATGGAGTTTCCAACTTGTTGCATATTTATTTTCAATTTTGCCATTTTCCTTTTGCAGAAACCCTGGGTGGTGTGGATACCATTGTCAAGATCCCTCCCCACTTGCTGAGGTAAGGAGACTGGAAAAATTGCCCACTGTCTTTTCCTGAAAGCCCAGATAACCTCGTTGGTTCATAGCATGATACTTGCTGACCAATGGCTTTTTCACATACATGAACAGATATTTTGAGGCTGGCATGAAGGAACCTGACTGCATTCATTTCCACCTGTCTGTGGAGGAAGGGAAGTCTGTGAGCCAAAGGAACCCTGTGGAAGTCAGGGCTGAAAGGGTAATGGTCAAGGAGAGAAATGACTATAACCTAAGTGAGGTTAATGGACAATGGACAGTTATCTTCTGCTGTGGGTTAGGATATGGCGCCCCCTATGGGGGGGAATGCAGCTCTACAATGTGTGGGATTGATTCAGTCTCTCACTGGCTAGCTCTGTGGCTGGACACCACGTGACAAAGTGTGCGGCCACATGCAGCAGCCCTGAGACAGTGAACTTATTTCCCTTCCTTCCTCACTGTCCTAATTTTTCTATTTCCCTTCATCCCGAGAAATACATGACTTCTGTGGAAAACTTGGAAAGAACAAAAAAGGTACATGGAATAAGAAGCATAAGTGGTAGGTAAGAAATAGACCAGGTGAGGTTAAGAATAGTATGGGAAATGTAAAAGTCAAAGAAATTGTATGTACAACCCATGGACATGAATTAAGGGAGGGAGGAGTGCTGGAGGGAGGGGGAGTGCAGGGCAGAGGGGGATACAGAGGAAGAAAAAAGTGGGACAACTGTAATAGCATAATCAGTAAAATATACTTTAAAAAACAATTAAGAAAACAGTCCATATTTATACCACCTAAGGATAACCACTGAAAATAGTTTAATGTGGACATTTTGTTTACAAGTTTGTTTCCACTGTGTGTGTTTTTAGTCAACATCAAATGGACAATATTTTCTAATGTTAATATCTGTACTTCAAATTAAAATATTGCATATTCTTCCATTATATGGCTGCTATAACATAATTTATGTAGTAGCTTTCTTATTATTAGACATTTGGATTGTTCCCAGATTTTCTCTGAGATTATTAAAAATATTCAATTTGTAGTCTTTTGTTGGCTCTAATTTCTATATTGTCAGGACATGGTAATTTATTAGGCATTTTGTCTATTTTCAAGTAGGTCGAACAAGAATTATGTTTCTGTCCCTTTAAAAAATGTATTACTTCTTATGTAGATCTGAGATCTGCTACAGGCTGATGTACTGTGAGGGAATTCATGTGTTAGTCAAACTGACTGCACTTTCCTGTGCATCAGGCTTCCCGATAGATGGCCTGTGTGGCAGCGGCATCCTTGCCTGGAGGGGGGCAGTGACACCTTGGGTGGGGCGGTGGCCCCTGCACTCTGGAGTCTGTGAAGATTCTCCAAGAGACACAAAGTATGGGTAGTTTAGGGGGGACAATTCTGGGTCCCCAACTTCTGTAGGTACCAAATGGATTTAGCCACATCTTCTTTTCCATCTCACTGCTTACAGTCACCTTTCCCTGCTTGACAAAGGAGAGGCAGGGCTGTCACTGTGGCTTCCTGAACCCACAGTGTGTTGTCCTGTGGTGCAAAACTCTCTTCCCACTTGCTCCGGCCTGCGGAGCAATCAACTGGGGCTCGACCACCTACCTAGAACAAATGAGTTGGGGGGACAAGAGGCTCGAAGAATGGCAGCAAGACAAAAGATTCTGATCAAGCTGCAAACTTTATTTTTCCGAACTGGGTGTATATATATGGGGGGGAGGGAGAGGAAGGAGATTAGGTTGCTTGCTATTGGCTAGCTTGAGACAAAGAAGGGCCCGCTTATGTATTGGTGCAACTGGTACTCGTGGACACCTCATGTGCCTGTAGCTGATTGGCTTGTGGAGCACATGCACACCTCATGTACCTGTAGCCGATTAGCTTGTGGAGCGCACAGGTTCCTGTAATCAATGCCATGTTTTTAGCTAGAAGCCAGGTGTAAGGTTCCCAACACCCACTGACAAAGGCCTATGAAAATATTGGTATCTCTGTTTATAAAGGGATGGATATGATGACCCATGCACACATCTCTTTGTAGGTTAGATTTTACTTCTTAACTTTCAGCAAAATTGAAGGAGGACTTAATCTGGTTGTAAGATTATACATAAAATTTTTTATAAGTCTTCATTTAGTTCTTATTTATGTAAACAATGTATGTTACTGCTTATTTGTATAAAAATGGAAAAAAAGGTATGGAATTGATGATAAACCCTACCTTGTTAATAGCAATAGAAAATACTCATCCATAGGTATATGAACTAACTGAGGAGAGCTAGCTCTATCCATTTCTTTAGAAATGCATTGGCAATTAAATTGTACTTTCTGTGTTAACTACATTAACATTCTTATAAGTCATTATTACTGCTGTTTGGGCCCATTGTGCGCATTAGTAATGATAGCTCCAACCAGAAGAAAAGTGAACACTTAGCCTCACGGTCACAGGAAATTTTAAAAAAATCACTTTACACACATTTTTGTTATAGAGAAATATAATGGGAAGATTAATGGAAGTCTTTCAAGCATTAAAACATAATATCAAGAGAAGACTCTGTGGGGAAGTGGAATGAAAATACGAGTTCAAGGAAAAAGAGAACAATGCAGCCTTTTTTACTGTGAAAGGAGAGCTTGTTCGTGCATTTTTTTATGGATGAAGGTGGTTTTAAAATGGGTGTGGTATTTAGATTTCATTACACATACTTAAATGAGTGAAATGTTTTAATTAAAATGTTTCATAATTTCAATATGCCAGAATTATAGCCTTCGCAATTAATTAAAATTATAATTAAAAATTTAAATGTTAATTTAAAATGTGTGAAAACCAGAATTCTAAAGTTTTCTTGGAGGCTGCAGAAGCAAAAACATTTGATGACGTTGCTTTAGAGCTTGTTTCCCAGGCCGGGGGCTGGTGGAAGCCACAGGAGGGCTCCTGGCTCCGGCTGGGAATGGTCCTCAGGAGACAAGTGGCCTTCTTGAACTCTGGGTGCATGTGGCCAGATGAGATGGATAAAATACAGTGTTAATGGGCCTAAGGACATGTGTTCTGTCCCGTTTAGACATTTATCTTTATTTTTATCCATGGTTTTGAGGTGTACTTAGGAGCCAGCTAGCTATCTCTTTTTTTTAAATCTCACCCAAGGAATTTTATTATTGATTTTTTGAGAGAGAGAGAGAAACATCCTGGGTTGCCTCCCATATGCACCCCGAGTAGAGATCAAACCCTCAACCTTGGTATGTGCCCTGACCAGAATCAAGCCCGAAACCTTCTGGTGTACGGGTGGATGCTCCAACCAACCAAGCCACCTGGCCAGGGCCCCAGCCAGCAATCTTATAATACAACCCATAGGGGAGAGTCACAAAATTGGTGGGAAGGATGCAGATGAAGAACTGTGCATGACTCTATATAGGTGTCTTTACTTATCTTCACCATTAGTAGAAATATAATTCAGAGTTTCTATTCTACAACAAAGAGCTGGCGGTGTCATTCTTGTATACAGATGTATCCCAGCTGTGCAGTGAGGTCCACCAAGCATTCTTATACAGAGAATGGAGCCATATGAATGAGATGGCCGATGGGAGCCTTGCACTCAGAGACTTCGTATTCTGAGGGAGGAGAGTGAAGACACATGTAGCTGGGAAACACTATTATAAGGGTGCAGATGTAAATTTATTGTAGAACTTTATCCATATGTGGAAATTTCAGTTTGACCATGATTTGAAATAGTTGGGAGCCTTTTAAAACCTCATTTAGGGTATGAGAATAAGTCATAATTAGAATAAAAAAGTTATTGAGTCAATAATGGTCTGATTTACTATTTTACTTTGTTATCAAGGAAGTGGTATAATGAGGAAATATACTGTAATGGGCTTTTCTCCCTTTTGTAAATCAGTCCTTTACCTTTGATTCATCTTCCCGGTACTTAAATTTTTTAAATTGGATTAGAATAAAAGAGTAAGGGGAAAAAAGACAGAGAGAAAGAGATTATATGTGCCCTGACCAGGGATTGAACCTGCAACCTTGGAGTATTGGGATGACACTCCAACCAACTGAGCTACCCAGCCAGGTCTTCCTGGTACTTTTAAACTCAGAGAGGACTTACTCTGTCTAGTCATTATGTTTTTTTAAATTAAAGTTATTGGACAAATGTTATGTTTAATATGCCAACTTTTTGTCTGAGCGTCTACTCAAAAAAATCTAGTCACTATAAATATCTGTCTGCTCATGAGAAAGAATTTGGATATATTAATTATTTAAATAAAATTTTTCTTCAGTTGTATTTAGTATATGAGAAATAAACCAGATGCACAAACTATTTCTTTAGTCTCCTGATTTTATATTTAGATTATTTTCATTTCTGGTACATAGTCATCTAGATGTAATTATGTACAGATTTTTTATTAATGTTGTTGAAGGTTTTGGAAGGGGCTATAGGAAATAATTCAAATCACAAATACGTTTGCTGTGCTGTTTTTCTTAGTTTTTTTTCTCTTGTGATCGAGTACTTTTCATGTTAAATTAATATTCTGATAAATAATTAGTGATAGTTTTGATCAGTTGTATTCATTAGTAGTGATAGCTCGAATCAGAAGAAAATTGAAAGCTGAGAGACCTATGGTTGTAGCATCTTCTTTTTTTCCCTTTTAACATCAATGGCTCTGAGGACTGTTGTAGAAACCAAAGTCTAGATGTCACAGGAATGATTTTAGTGACTCTGGTAATGTACTCAGTCATGCATAGGACATTGTAAGGGACAAACTCATGATAAAACATTTAGACGGAATTGAAGAGCCATCAGGCATTGCTGATTTCTGCCCCAGGCTTGTTCACTGAGTCAGTGGCCACCCTCCTTATTGGTGCAGTAAGCTGTTTGAGCAACAGGTGTGTAAATTCATGCAGTGTGCCCGTAAGGTTGAGTGGTGAGGCTAGAGGAAGGCCCAGGGAACCAGTCCTGTGGAATGTGAAAATCTTTCCACCTTCCTGCCCTTAGTCTTGCTTTAGATTTTGG